TCCCTCCCTCCCTCCCTCCCTCCCTCCCTCCCTCCCTTCCTCCTTCCGTCCCTCCCTCCCTCCCTCCATGGGTGTGTATGGGGAATATGGTGCAGGGCACAGTTGTCCAGATGAGAGTACAACTCCTCTCATCAATGGGGATTGAACTCAGGTCATCAGGCTTGGTGGCAAGTGCTTTGTCCTTCTGAGTCATTTCAGTAAATGTTGGTGCTAACAGTGGTGTCTGCTGGTGAATGCATGTATCTATTTCTTTGGGGCCTACACTCAGGGATGAGGTGACAGCATGGGAGACTGAGAAGGCATACAGAAAGAGGGGGAGGCTGGGAGAAGCAGAAGCCCGGGGGGAGCATTTCACAGAACAAAATTGTCCAGTGGGCCAAATGATTTACTTTGTTTCTATTTTTAAAATACTTTGTTTCCTTAGCCATCATCGTGTACAGACTGCCATGGACCTGGAAGTGCAGCAAGCTCTTGATGAAATCCATCCACGCCGGGTTAAACGCTGTGGCTGCCATCCTCGCCATCATCTCTGTGGTGGCCGTGTTTGAGTACCACGATGTCCGAAAAATCCCCCACATGTACAGTCTACACAGCTGGGTTGGATTGCCAACCCTCATACTCTACATCCTACAGGTCAGTGCCTCGCTGACTACAGATCTTTTCTAACCTTGCTCTTCCATTTGTGTCTAGGACAACTTGTCCCGAGAGGACAATGAACCTCAGAATTCACAACTTAGGAACTCGGGTGTATGGTTTATCATTTTGATATCTGTCAGTAGGGAAGTTGCTATCTCTTAACATCTAGACTAGCTTCGTCCAGACTTCAGTCCCAGGTTCTGAATCAACTAAACTTGCCAGGAGCAATATTTCTTTGCTACATTCTCTGTCGTGTCTTTGCTTTAACCTTTTCTAAATGAGAGTGCTGATTTTCTTTTTCTAACCTTTTGTGAAATGTTGAAGGCATGGTGATTATTTTATTTATCCTTTGCATGTATTGGTAAAGGGATGCATTCTGAAAACATTGTACTGAAATGAAATTTGATGGTGCGTGATAATTATTCAGCAGTTTGATGTCATAACAGTAAAAATCAATGTTCTGAGTCTTTTAGGCTCTTCAGCACGTTGTTGAAAAATCTTTGTAAATGGTTTTGATTCAGTGTCCTTCCTTGTTAGCACAGTGTATATTCAACTTCCTGGTTGGGATCATTGAGAACCTTACTTTTCTAAAGCTGCAGAGTGAGACACTAGATTGGGTACATAGAACCTCAAAGCTTATTTTAAAATAAATGGCCCCTTTAAAAAGCAGGCCCTCTTACTAGACATTGATTGTTTTCCTTCTAAATGAATATGTTTTTTTAAAAAAAAACCTTGAATCATGATATATTCTCATTAAATAATGATGAATCTCCTTGGACATTCTCCATTATTTAAATCTTTTAGCCATTCTGAGGTTATGGGTTTGGAATGGAAAGGGGCCAGGAAGGAAGAAGATGCAGGAAAAAATCCTGTATCCACTGTGATCTGCCCAATCAGTAAGGCAAATAGCTTGAGTTGGATAGCTGAGCCTTGCTCAGATCATTTGTCCTTGGGGTAATTTCCCTTGGAGTTTTCTTGTGGATCTGAGGGACCTTTTCTCCATTGTCACCAACTGGTTAGGCTTCTCCCCTTAGGAGTAAGGATGGCAGGAGCCCCTGGAATCTGTAGGTTGCTTGGGAAACCTACCTGTCATAATAGCATCTCTGTAGGGCTTTGCTCGGCTCTATATTCAGCTCAGACTATAGAGGCTGCACCATGCCAAGCATTTCCTTTCATTCTTCCAAGGAGCTATCTGGTACAGACTCTGGGATGCAGTGGGAAGGAGCCTTCCTTGGGTTACACAGCCAATGACAGTCCCACCAGCATTTAGTTTCACTGTTCCCACAACTCCCAGACTGAGAGCCTAGCTTGTGTGTGACCATTCTCGGTAGAGGACCATTTAACCCACTGAGGGTAAGGATGAAAACATCCAAGTTCGTATTTGGCTTTCTGTAAAGTTCTCCAGACATGCACACTCCTACTTTACTATTGATCTAGTCATACAGATGGCAACAGGTTCTGCCTTGTAGATTAAGTACGCTGGCTCTGTTTCTGAGTGCAGTGGCTAAATAGAATGAGATGCCTTTTCTGAGTTACTTGCTCAGTCAGTACCCCTGGGTTTTGTGAAGTGGCAGAAGTGGGTTTCTCCAGTGGCCACCACTCATTGGTTTTCCTTTACTTCTTGTATCTTGTAATAATTTCTTTAGCAGGCCTATTTTTTCATAATAACAGGTTAAGTGAATAAGTAGCACAATGATTATATAGATAAATAAAGATTTCCTCTATTAGATAGGGCTTTCAGTCTAGTTTCTCTAAAACTCTCTCACACACACATGCACACACACACACACATGAGTATACACACACACACACCACAAACCTTTTATTTTTTGCTCTGTATCTTAGTATGTAAGCTAGAGAGAATTTAGAAGTTAACAATAAACAACAAAAACAAATAACCTACTGTGATGGTTTAATCTCAATACTTTGGAGGCAGAGGCAGGAGCATCTCTGTGATTTCAAGGCCAGCCTAACCCACTTAGCTAGGTCCAGGACAGCCAGGACCACATAGTGAGACCCTATCTCAAAAAACCAAACAAGCAAATAACAAAAAAAAAAGTTAACAAAAGAGAGAACCCTTATTCTAACTCATGACAAGCCTGACCCAATAAAACACAAAATATGCAACACTCAGAACTCAGAGATATGATCACAGACACAAACAACATTTCATGATTATATTTAATATAGGATAATAAGACCTGGTGATTGCTCACAGGCAGAGTGTGGGCTGAGTACCTGTAGAGTTCAAATTCAATCCCTGGGACCCCTAAAAAGATATAAATGGTTGTATAATTAAAGAAAAAAAAGAATTTTCCTATTCCCAAATATAACTACTAAATTTGTTCCAAAAAAGAATTAGGAACCATATAAAGATCAATAACAATAGGGAAAAACCCCAAAGGTTATTTGAAATCCAGGGATTAAAAAAGGCATCAGATCTGTATAGCTTCAGACCTTTGACCTTTAAGAAGTGAACACTTTAAACCAGTCCAGTCCACTAGAAAGCTTCAAGCTCTTCTTGGCTGTGGACCTACTGTGTACTACACATCAGGAGAATGCATCTGTGATTATGGTTGCTATTACCAATACCTAACTGCAGTATTAGATTAACCAGAACACTAAAGATAACTTCCATTAAAAGCACAGGTAGCCATTAATACTTGCTGCCATGTTGTCATCCAGCACTGCTTTAGAGTTCTTAACACATATACAAGAGGAGAAAAATATATAAATAAGAAATAACTATCTGTGACTCAGTTACCAGCTTGTAGATCACATAATGTACATCTAGAAGCCGACAGATGACTAGATGTAGAGTTTGGAGTGGCAGCTGGATTTAAGAAAGCATATATAACTTTTGCCTACTCCAGCAATAACACTTTGTAAAAATAGAACCTGCTGGCTCAGTTAGCAAAGTTCTTGCTGTGTATGCATTAAGACCAGAGTTCAAGTTCCCTAAGCCTATGTAAAAAGCTCGGCACAGTGGAGCTTGAGAAGGGTGTGAGATGGACACCTTTCTGGAGTATGCTTGCCAGCCAGCCAGGCCAATTAGTGATCTCCAGGTTCAGTCAGGGAGGCTGTCTCAAAGGTGGAAAGTGAGAGAGAAAGATACTCAGCATCAGTCTACGGCCTCCACATTCATGCACAGATGTGCACAGGCCCTGCATATCCACATGTGGATACATGTACACACACAACACACACAATAGACCTCATTTATTAAAGGATAAGAAAGATTATATCCAAGAATAAACTGAATAGTTAAAAACATAGTATCTACAAGCAGAATATATAAAGTACTATAAATTATCATAGAAAATAGAACACTGTCTTAGTGTTCCATTGCTGTCAAGAGACACCATGGCCAACGCAACTCTTACAAAGGACTGACTCTTACAAAGGGGCTGATTTACAGGTTCAGAGGTTTAGTCCATTATCATTATAGAGGATAGCAGGCAGACATGGTGCTGGAGAAGTAGTTGAGAATTCTATATCTGGATCAGCAGGCAGTAGGAAGAGAGAGACATGGCCTAGCTTGAGCTTCTGAAACCTCAAATCCCATCCCATGCCCCCTTCCAACAAGGCCACACCTCTCAATAGCGCTGGTGTCTTTGAACCTATGAGGACAGTTCCCATTCAAACCACCACAAACATATTCTAAAGATACCGTGATAATGAAAGAGAAACATTAATACAGAAATATCTTTCCCTCTTCAATTAATAGCTATGTTTAAAATAATTTTCAGTTTAAACCTAGTGGGAATCATAAAAATTGTTATGAAGAGAATAAATATCCAAAAATAACTAAGAAACTTTTGAGACAGAAATGAAAGGACACCTTGAGTTATCAGCACGTGAGCAAACACAGAAGGATCCAAGAGGCTGGAAATGTCCAAGCATGTACAAGAAATTTTTATCTTATAACAACACTTACTTAACAGAGTCTGTGCATTTAGGTAAACCATACATACCATATCACATAAGAGAAAAAAAATGTAAGAACCTAAATATAAAAACCAAAGCCAAGGAAAAGGGGGGGGGGCTGTGTATAACCTGTATGGTATGAGACAGAGGAGGCCAGAAGGTTGGTAAGAAATCCAAAAGCCATGGAGAGAAAAAAATGCATATTTACTATACAATTTTTTTAAATGTATGTGACATAAGGCATCAAAGTAAACAGAAATAACACAAGAACTGTGGGAATAATCATGTGTCATGTGTCAGTGGACAAGCAACTCTAAATATTAATAATAAAAAATCAGGGCTGGAGACATGGCTCAGAGATTAAGAACACTGGTTGTTCTTGCAGAGGACTTGGGTTTGAGTACCAACACTGTACAGTGGCTCACAGCCACCTGTAACTCCTGTTCCAGGGGATCTGATGCCCTCTTCTGACCTCCACAGGGACCAGGTACACATATATCAGAAGACATACATGCAGGCAAAACATTCATATGACAAAAATTAATAAAGAAAAAGTAATAATTGAAAAGTCAAACCAAAATTAAAAACAAAAACTTGGGTTTAGAGAGACAGCTCAGCAGATGAGGATGCTCGCTGCCAAGTGCTGCCAACCACGACAAGCTAAGTTGGATCCTTTGGTCCTACGCCTAGGGAGAACTGGTTCCTGTGGGTCAGACCTCCTCGTGAGCATTGTGGTACATGCTTGCTGGAGTGTACTTGAGCTTGCTTGGGAATACACAGCTTGGTTTATCATGATTAAACTGATCCATTCTGTTGTATTTCTGAAAAAAATGGAGCCTGGGTTAAGCCACTAGAGAGCTAAGACTCTTCAGATAACTGGTGCAGCGGAAAAGCACTTCTGAGACCTGAGTGTGGAGGGTCAAGTTGTGTTCTGCCTTGCAGCAAAGGGAAAGAACTGTGCTCTGAGCAGACCGGTATCTGTATCAGGACCTTACACATTTCATCACAGCAGGGTGTTGTGGGAAGAGCTTACTAAAGGAGTAAAGGAGGCCAACTCAGTAGGAAGCAAA